TGAGCTCACTGGCTCGCCGCGAAGGCTGGTGCGACGCCGGCCGAGACAATGCTCGGTGTTTAAAATTTAAAAAAAAATAAAGACAGATCATCGTGTTTGAGGCAATAAAATGCTGATTTGTAATGATCTCACTGTCTTGAAAATTATTAGGTTCAATTTTTATGTTATAGTGATTTTACTCTTTTAATGTAGAGATGTTTGGTGCACTTGGTACTCTTTTACTATCTGTCAAACCTGGGGTTGCAGCTAGTTAACGACTTCAGCAATATTTTATTGATATGTCAAATTGAAACAGCTGCTATTCTCTTAAACATTGATTGGGAGGTAAAATTATGGTACCAAAATTCTCAAGAGACATAGGCCTTTCATATGAAACAGATGAATTTGACATACAGCTATTTTGAAAATTTTGTGTCTGGTACCTAGTATAATGCTAATATTTTGTTGCATTTGACGTGAAGTAAATTCTCGTTAAATTTTGTTTGGCCCATAAGGTTTTTTCTCTGTTAATGAATAGTTTTCTACTTTTGTATGTTACCTTGTAGAGGCATAGCCCAGATAACTGCTAACTTTCAAGTCTCTATCTCAATTCTAAGACCCCCATTGCTATGGAAACATGTTGCTCAACCTCGGTGGCCATTTTCTCCTTTTCGTGTTTCCTCACTTCTAACAATTAAAAGTTCTGTATTTTTGTGAAATATGGTCATATTTACTTCATTTTTGTTTTAAATTGTAGGGAAAAGGTGATAATTTTTTAAAAATAACGTTAACTCAGTTTTGAAATTTCCTTCATATGCCTATGACTGATATTGACCGGCAGGGACACAGATAATATTTTGCAAGTACCACATAAAAGTCCAGACATGTTACTAAATTTTGGCATGAATGTACGTTTTTCTAGCGCAATATTATTATTATTATTATTATGGTGCCGTATAACATCAACGGTTTTCTCGTTCACAAAGGAATTTGAGCTGCAAGAACGTGGGCCAGAAAACGGTGTCTCCCCCTTCTCTGAATTCTTTTATCCAACGAAAAATAGTATCATATGAACAAGCAGACTCTACATAGACACATTCCATGAATCAATTTGATCGATTCGCCAAGTTTACATCGCCTACACCGATTAAAAAGAGGATGTTTTTCTAGTGAACTTTATATCTTGCTTCCTCCAAGTAGGGACAAACCGTCCTTTGTTTGCACCGTTATAAAATGATCAAGAGTGAAGTCACTTGTCGCTCCAATGATTGGTTTGAGAGCTTACATGTTACAGATAAATTGTGTGCATTGCTTTTATAACTAAATTTTAAAGTCTTAAAGGTTCAATGTCAACTTCCATTACTTTCTGATTCACCCTCGTAGTTTATGTTTTAAATACTTTTTATCTCGGAGTCTAAGAGTGTTTTTTGATTAGAGCAACATCAAGCACTATTGAACTTTTGAACTCCTTTATCGTTCCTTCAGTTCCATTAGAAGAAAATCACAAAATTTAAAAAAGGGATAAATCTATATTTTAATATTCCTGATGTAGCTCCAAAAGAGGAAATGTTTAACAAATCTGAAAATCCGAAATACTTTAAACAGTTGCTGACCAGACTTGGAAGTGCTGAAAGACCTTGCCCGCTCCCGGCTTACTGGGCCATCTCCTGTTTTTATTTGTAGCTTTATACAAAACCTTTCCTTCCAGGTTTGAGTCACCGGGGTCTTTTGTGTAGCCATTATAGTTTGGACAACACCAAAAGGACAACTAGTCGACCTCATTACACAGAAACTAAGTGGCATATTGCCCGGATTTTTTTCCCCGCAAAAAAACTAAAAAATCTCGATTTTTGTGCATATGCGAGAAATATTATTATAAAGAGGTGTTTTTTAAAATATAATAATTAGT